TTTCCGTTGTCCAATCAATTCATAATTTTGCACACGTACTCAGATCCGGTGACAATGCATGCCTGTATCAAAATCGGCATCAACTCATCAAATAATTGCCTCCTTTCAAGCAATAATTGTTATGCATGGACGGCTTATTAATTATATAGTTTTGTGTACGTGAAAAACGCCACGGTCCCAAAACTGTGAAATCAGCGCCACGTGTCTCTTGTAATCAAGATGTCGTCCACTTCCCGTTGTCCAATCGAGTTATTTTACTTTTCAGTGTACTTCAAAATAAAACCGTTGTTTTAAAAAAAAAAACTTTCTTAAAGGAGTTTATTTATTTGACCAGGTAAGGCCCCGCAGCTATATATAGATCTTTTTCAGAAGCAACATGACCACAAATAACAGCTCAATGGAGTGGCTTGTCACGTACAAAGTTGTTGCAGCCAAGTTCTACAGGGCGTTTTACAAAGATGGACCCAAGTTTAAAGCAGTATATTTCACGATGGCAACATGTTACAATTACACAAAAAGTTGCAAACGGTTTAATGAGTTATCAAGTTCTACTAACGATTTTATAAATGCTCTATGTGCCCTCCACCTGCTGTACGGACAACATCGAGACGATAGTTGAATTCGTCCCAAACACCTCTCTTCTCACGTATTCCCTTGAGGTGCGTGGTCGCCCTGTGCTCTTCCCCTTACATAAACAGCTGCCTGTTTCCCCAAATTGGCGGTACCAACGACGAATGCTCTTTGACAGTGGCGGATCAATCCCAAAACGCCGTTGAAACGCACGCTGCACCGCAATTACGCATTCAGTCTTGCTGAACTGCAGAACGCAAAACGCCTTGTGTTGCGGGGGTCACCGTCTTGCGAATGACTGAGGCTAGGGTCTGTTTGTGCGCTGGGAGAGGCATCTCGCGGTAATTATTTGCAACTCTATGCCCCGCCCTTTCAAGTGGTAAGACTTTCATTCATGGGCAGTTCGTGGTTGCAGAGATAAAGCGATTTCAAATCGGTCCATATTTTCAAACACCCTGTATAAATGCATGTTTCTAAATACGGAGAGACAACCCGGAGAACCCGGAGAAAATTCCACCCGACTATGGGAAGAACATGCAAACTCCAAATATACAGACGTCAGGGTCGGGATCGAACCCATGACCTCGCTTATAAAAGACAAGGCAGTTCACATCTTGCCACCATGGCACTCCACTCTCTGACTCAGCCACCTACTCACCCACCAACTCACAAACCCACTCACCCTACCACCCACTGGATCTCAAACATTCACTCACCAATTCACCCACCCACTCACCCTGACACCCACTCAATCTCCAACTGACCCACCCACGCACTCAAAATCCCACCTACCCACTCAACCAACCAATAAACTAAAACTCTTTTTTTTATTTTACCAGGTAAGGCCCACAGAGCTATAATCTTTTTCATAAGTGACCTGGTTACAAATAATAGGTCAACGAAGTGGCTTATCACGTAAACATTTATTGCAGTCAAATCCTTTAAACGAATGTTGATCCTAAATGTGGAGGGAAAACCCGGCTATTTTATTACACACAATGGACAGGAAGGACAAGATCAAAGGCTCGCATAATGCACATGCATAATGTACGTTGCGCAAGAGGGTAAAAGTGTGGTCACCACATCTACGCCTCTATATAAGGAACAAAACAGGTGGACTTCTCCACAAATCTGGCTGTCGCCTGATGAAGTTAGTTGTAATTACTGGCGAAACGTCGTACTCAAATTGTAAATGTTGTGGCTTGACTCTCCAACACACTGGTGTGCTGTACTTGTTACAAATTGGAATGTTATATTTATGTGACAACCCTTACTAGTTGGCTGTGTCGGGTGGTGGTGGGTTTCAATGACACATTTATATATTTACGCGATCTAACCCAAGAAAACCCTCTATTATGAATGATATTGGTCACGAAAGCCGACGTGTTCAACAAACCCGAAGGAATCGGAGGAAAATCGACGCGACCACGGGAGAAGATGCAAACTCCAAATATACAGGCTTCAGGGTCAGGATCGAATTGATTACTTCCTGTATTCTGGGCGAGGTAGTTAACATCTCAACACCGTGGCACCCCATTCTCTTACCCACTCGCTTACACACTAACTCACCCACTCAACCTCCCGCACTAACTTACCCACCCACCAGTCACCCAACCATTTATCCAACCACCCTCTCACTCACCCTACCATCCACCCGTTCACCTACTCACTCTTTCACAACACTTATTCAAATACCCACCCACTCACATATTAACCTATCCACTCACACAATGACCCACCCACTCACCCAACCCCCATTCACCACCCAAACCAGCCAGCATCCAACCCACTCACTCGCTAAACAAAAACAAAAAAATAGCTATATAGATCTTTTTCAGCAGCGACGTGGCCACAAATGATCGCTCAACGAAGTGGGTTAGCACGTAGAAATGTATAGCAGCTAATCTTACCTATAAAAGGCATTTTTTGTCTGTGTGTACGTCTGTCTCTGTGTGGACACACACTTGCGAAGGATTTCACTCGCAAACCGAGGGGTTTACGTTTTTAAAAAGTAGCCAGGTACCACGCCGTAAGCCCCTTGGTGAGCCAGCGCTATTCTGTTTTCCCATCCGTCAACTTTAAAGTAGTTAATTAAAGATTTTCGCGCTATTTATTAAAGATTTGGAGGCATCCTTGCATGCAGCTGGACGTTTACCAGACATTGGTAGGCAAATGTGTGCACAAGACAAAGTTCAAGCAGAAAAGATCAGAATAGCCCGCGAGGAGTTGCTGATGCTGCTGCTTCCCGCGCTTGTGGTTGTTGACGTACTCTTGCACCTCAGGCAGCATCGCTACTGAAGTTTGCTGCCCGACTAACAATGAGCTTGCAGCGCGTTTCATAACACCGTGGCCAAACACGATGGAGTGCGTTATTTCAACAATGTAACACATAGGCATTCGCGACCAATGTTATCCATGAGGTTTTTTTGGGTTAGATCACGTAAATATAAGTACGTCATTAAACCCGCCACCACGAGATACAGCCAATTAGTAAGGCTTGTCACGTCAACAAAATATGCCAATTCGTTACGAGTACAGCACACCGGTGTGAAACCGGAGCTGGCATAAGCGCACTGTATGTACATCTATATATGTTGAACTTTTCACACCGTGCGTAGCCAACCGTGCTCGGACAACAACAAAGTAAGAAATTCGTCGCGGGCTCTCCGACATAGCCATTATGAACCCACACAGAGAGAGAGAGAGAGGCAGAGTCCAGGGCTCGAACCCAGTTGTCAGGAGTGCTGCCCAAAGCCTTCTCAATTCCTCCTTTGGCCCAGGAGGAGCCCGTGAGGAGTCTATGAGGCCGTTAGTAGTCCGTTAGGAGCCCGTTAGGAGTCTGTAAGAATTCCATAAGGAGTTCGTGAGGAGTCCATGATTCCGTATGGAATCTGTAAGGAGTCCGTGATTCTGTAAGGAGTCCGTGATTCCATAAGGAGTCAATGAGTCTGTAAGGAGTCCATGAGTCTGTAAGGAGTCCATGAGTCTGTAAGGAGTCCGTGATTCCATAAGGAGTCCATGCGTCTGTAAGGAGTCCATGAGTCTGTAAGGAGTCCATGAGTCTGTAAGGAGTCCATGAGTCTGTAAGGAGTCCGTGATTCCATAAGGAGTCCATGAGTCTGTAAGGAGTCCATGAGTCTGTAAGGAGTCCGTGATTCCATAAGGAGTCCATGAGTCTGTAAGGAGTCCATGAGTCTGTAAGGAGTCCATGAGTCTGTAAGGAATCTATGAGTCTGCAAGGAGTCCATGAGTCTGTAAGGAGTCCGTGAGGAGTCTGTGAGTGGCGCGCTGCACACAGCCACACAGCTACCTAGAGCATAGCCATGTGTGTGAGTCTGTGTGTGTGTCAATTAAGGGGGTCCACGTTTCACAAGCGTAGAGAAGGGAGGGAATGACCGTGGCCGAGAAGACCTGAAGCTTAGTGCGGAGCGACAGACCAGGTAGCTTCCACACAGCGTTACGCAACCGATGAAAAGATATTGCCGCTCGACTGATTCGGAGACCTCTGCTGTTAAACTGGAGCCCTTAATGGAACATCTTCGCCGGTTAGAAACATTTAGGCTGGCCTGCCTATGATCCATCCTGGGTTTAACCAGGCTGGATTGTGTGAGGAGCTCACAAATCCTTGAAAGATCTGGGCAAGGTCCCATCGGTGAGCTCCTCCGGCAGGCAAGGCTGCGTTGGCTGGGTCATGTAGCCCGCATGCCCAGCCACCGCATGCCGAAACAGCTTTTGTTCGGCCGGATCGAGGGGGCTAAACGGGCGTGGCATGGGCTAGAGAAGAGATGGAGTGATGTGGTACAGGAGGATGTGGACCTGAGTGGACTTGCCGATGACTGGTACCAGCGGTGTCAAGATCGGCCTCTGTGGAGGAGGCTCTTGAAGGACGCTACTGGGCAGTTGGAGGCAGTCGCCCTCCAACAACAACGGAGGGCGGAGGAGCGATGCTCACAACAATGAGCGGAGCGCCGGGTGGCTAAAGCACAGCAGGTTGGCACAGTAGGGGGCACAGGTGGTGCATCAGCCAGTCATCTCAGTCGACCTGTGGCACCTGGGTCTGCCCCGTGACCTCCTGCCAGCGGGCGTTCGACACTTCACGTGGCCTCAAGCTGCACATGGCCTGGCACAAGCATCGTGGTGACATCACCGCCACTTAGTGGCGAATGGCGGTTGTGTGTGTCAATGGGGAGCGGTAGCGTAGTGGTGAGTGCGCTACGCTATGAACCATGCGACCCAAGTTTGATTTCCGCTCACAGCCAACACCAGTGACGATCATTTCACCTGGTTCTGGGCCTCCCCTAGGTCGACTCAGCCTCAAATGAGTACCTGGTGTGGTGTATAAACATCGCCACTAGGGAGACAAAGGCGCTCGGGTGTAGTGCTGGTCACCCACCCCCCCATGTAGCGATCCAGCCTTCATAGTTGCTACTCGCTAACAGCACTTGCTATATGGTGGTTCTTTGTCTTTGTGTCTGTTGGTGCGTGTGTGTGTGAGTGTTTGGTATCAGTGTAAATCTATGGGTCACTGTAAAAATCTATGGTTCTCTATATTGATCTATTAGTCTAAGTTTATGGCTCTCTATGGTAGCCTCTGGGCATCTATGTAAATATGAGTCTCTATGTTAGTATTTGGTTCTCTATGTAAGTCTGTGTGTGGTGAGTCTATGGGTCTCTGTGGTGAGTCCAATGGTCTCTGGGTCTCTACTTCTTGGCCATGATGTACGGCACCACTACCATGGCAACGACGCCAGAGAAAACAATGACGATGATGATGGCGCAGATCTTCTTGAAGAAGCGCTCGTGGCACGTGCGCTTGAGGAATGACTCGCTCACCACGGGGATGTCGAAAGCCACTGAGATTCCGCCAGCGCCGGCAGAGTCACCACCCAGGAGGTGCTCCGGCTGCCCCGGCCAAAACCGCGGCGGCCCCACGGGACCGGAGTCGGCCACCCTCCACTGCGATGGTGGCGGAGCCAGCGCCAGCGGGTCCAGCTGGATCTCCATGTCGGCCGCGTGGGCTGCCCGACGCCTCCCGCCGACACCCGCAGCGGGCAGCGGCAGCGCTGGCAGCGGCGACGGTCCCGAGAAGGCACCGCTCAAGCATCCTGCCGGCACTCCGGATCGTGAGCCAGGCGCTGTCTCCGAGCACGGCTCCTCCGGTTCCAGCGCGAGGTTTACGTAGAACAGTGGCACCGGCGAAGAGGGGGACGGCGCCACCGGTGGGGACGGTGCCGGCGAGCTCACGTAGATGCCCGAGTCAGCGGCCGACACATTGGAGACGTCCGAGAAGCTGCCATCACCAGCGCCAGCACGGTCCGCGGCCGCGGCAATGGCGGCAGCCGCCTTGACGCCATCGCGCGTCGGCGCCCAGGGCCCCGGGTCGGAGAAGGTGCGTTGTTTCCACGCGCGCCGGCGCGTGGGCGGGCCCTTATGGGGGCTCGGCGCTGGCTTGCCGAGGAGGAGGAGGCGGGCCGTGCCTGTGACGGCGCCGGCCGATCGGTCGTCAATGCCGGTGCCGGCCGAAGGAGGAGGCGGAGGAGGAGGCGGTGGCAGCAGGGACGGCTCTTGCATGAGGGCCACATCGGCATCGGCGTAGTGCGGGAGCATGGTGCTCGGCGAAGGATGGCGTGGCACCTGCGCAGAACGAGAGGCGCATGAGCGTCTTTGCGTGGATGTCATCTCGTGGACGTTACTGCGTGCACGTTGCCACGTAGACGTCGCATAGATGCCGGATAACTCGTCGTCCGGCACGCAACATCGACAGCGTACTACTAGTCGCATCCAACCTACTCCAGTTGCCCGGCATCTCTGCGATGTCTATGTGGCGACGTCTACGTGGCGACGTGCACCAATACCTCGGCCGTGGCTGATCATTGTTTTAACGCTGTGGGCACACACGAAATAGATTTTTCCAAGACGAAGGTACTCTGCAAACCTACTGGCTATCAACAAAGATTCGTTCATGTACCCATCCAGATATATAAACACAGACACAATTTCAACCGAGAAAATGGGTACAAACTGAACAATCATTGGAAGGACGTTCTTAACCATGTAAAGTCTTAACTAACTGTGATGTTTCCATCCTACCTGCCTATGTGAGCTGTTATTTATGACTCTCAGAGTTGCATTGCCAGGTTGGAGGTCTTTGTCATTGACAGGCTTGTATGTCTTACTAGCACAGTCACTGATGCTAAATTTCGATTTAAAGCTTTCATGACTGCAAGGATTCATCTTCTTTGGTTCTTTCTGTAAATTCATGTACAATGAGAATAAAAGAATAAATTAATAAAATAACACAATAAAATTCTCACGACGTTTCGGCCACAACACAAATGGCCTTCAACAGGTGAACGGACGAGACTGTCTGGACAGCGCTGGAGCGCTCCAGCGCTGTCCTCCAGACAGTCTCGTCCCTTCACCTGATGAAGGCTACTTGTGTTGTGGCCGAAACGTCGTGAGAATTTTATTGTGTTATTTTATTTTATTAATTTATTATTTTATTCTCATTCTACGTGACTTTACCGAAAGAACCAAAGAAGATGAATCACTGATGCTACTTTCCCTCGATGTGGCATTGGCTCTCGTTTTTCTCACAATACAATGGCTACCTTCGCAGCCTCAGGGCGCCCTCCGTTCTCACAATACATTGACATGCTAATCTCTCTCAATACAATGGCCACCCCCACAGCCTCAGGGCGCCCTCCCAGCGTACATTTACTTACAAATACCATCTCTAACCCCGCCCACTTATCCTTGGGCTGCACCCATCTCAGGCCTATATAACATCCTGTTTCAGCAGCTCTCTCACTGTAATTTTTTCACCTGAAGACGGCTGCTTGTGTTGCGATCGAAACATTGTGATTTTTTTCTATCTACGTGACTTTACCAAAAGACCCAAAGAGTATGAATTCCTGCAGTCACGAAAGCTTTAAGTCAAGATCTACTCCAGTTTACTGGCAAATGTTTCCAGTCCCTGGCACTCCACGTCCATCATTCTACCTTTTGCTAGGAGTCTATGACTCCCCATTTTCAGGAGGGTGATGCTAGGAACCGTTCTACTTACAAACAGGTCCCAGGAACGAATTATGGTCGTATGTCAAGGACTGTCCAATATTTTATTCATATGTATTTATTATGGTTATTCTTTGGGTCTTTCGGTAAAGCCACATAGAAGAAAAATAATAAAAATAACAATATCACGACGTTTCGATCGCGACACAAGCAATCGTCATCAGGTGAAAAATATAGCGGGAGAGCTGCTGAGGCAGGAAAAACATATGGCAGGAGCGCTGCTAAGGCAGGGAGTTATAAAGGTTTGAGATGGGTGTAGCTCAAGGGTCAGTGGGTGGGGCTAGAGATTAAATTTGCATGTAAATGTAAGATTGGAGAAATCTTGAAAAACGAAGCTGTGGGGTGGCCATTGTTTCGTGAGAGATTAGGATGTCAATGTAAGCTCGGATAGAGCTTGGAAAGAGCCATCACCACATGGAGGTGGAAAAGGATGGAAAGCCGCCATTTACTAACAGCTAACGGTGGCTGTGTTAGTGAATGTAACTCAGAGAGTCAAAAATAACTGATAACATAGGTAGGTAGGAAGGTAACAACACAGCCAGTTATGACCTAAACTGGTTAATAACGTCCTTCCAATGATTGCTCAGTTTGTACCCATCTTCTTGGTTGAAATTGTGTCTGTGTTTATATATCTGGATGGCTTCATGAACGAATCTTTGCTGATAGCCAGTGGGTTTGCAGAGTACCTTCGTCTTGGCAAAATCTACTTCGGTTGTGCCCACAGCGTTAGAACAATGATCAGCCACGGCCGTGCCGGGTGGTGGAGGGTTCGTAGACTTGCTTACCTTTTCAATCCGATGCACGGCTATCGTTGCTAGTGTATTGTCCTTGTTGATGTAATTTGCTAACCCCGTGCCCCTGCACTGGGCATCTTTGAAGTGAGAGCTTCATAGCTCATCGGATTCATCCTCCAGGTTAAATAAACATTCCAATACTGACTGTGAAACAGCGGTGGCCGCATCTCACAGGACACCTCTTTCTCAAAGGCGCCACATCTATTGCCAGGCTACTCAGCGGCCCCAAGCGTAGCTTTAAGAACCCTCCACCAACCGTCACAACCAGGACAAATCAAACTGTATCGTGACGTGCGGGAGTTTAGCGTATAGTGTAGTGGGTAGCATAGTGTATATTGTGGTATGTAGTGTATAGTGCAGTGTATGTATGTTGAACTTCATTCATGCACCTTACGTATTCAATCATGCTAATGGTAGGCGCAGTGTTGAGTCTCTGGGCAGTGTTGAATCTGGGGGACTCGGGGGGGAAAAATCCACGTGACCCGGGGAAATAGACATGCAATCTCCCAATATACAGCAGGGGTCAGGGTTGGAATCGAACCCATTAACACCTGCATACCAGGCGAGTGAGAGAACATCTCGCCACCACGGTGCCCCATAAAGTCTAAATATATCATGCACTATCTGCGTCACTGTAGAGCGGTCGGCCATCGTGTACCAGATGGCTTCCGACTTTTGCAAATTATAAAAATGACTCCGCAAATAATTCCACTGGCTCACTAACTCACCCACCTACTCACTCACCCAGTGACTCACATGCCCATTCACTCATCCAGCCTAGCACGGTAGGCTACGTATGATGCAAGGAAGAAGTTCAACATACATATATACAACCCCATGGCCACCACCACTTGCACCAAATATCAAGCAGCTAAAACTCCGTATCTGACCCCACAATGTGCAGATTCGATATTGTATCTCTCCGTACACAACACTGCACAATGCAAAATTTAATAATGCAGTGCAAATCTTAACCAGAACTCTAAACTACTTTTTTACCAGGTAAGGCCCACTGAGCTATGTAGCTATTTTTCAGAAGGAACCTGGCTATCACAAAGGACAGCTCAATGGAGTGGCAAAAGATCACCACGTGGACATTTACAGCAGCCGTATACTCTAAACGTGTGACATTAATTCTAAATGTGGAGGCAAAAACCGGAAGACCCGAAGAAAAGTCCACGCGACCACGGGGAGAGGAGAGAGACACGGAAACTCGAAATATACAACAGGTGTCAGTCAGGGTCGGGATCGAACTAAAATTGTTTTTATTTTGCCAGGTAAGGCCCACTGAGCTATAAACTTTTTTTTCAGAAGCGACCTGGACACACATGACAGCTCAACAAGCTGAGTGCGTGACAGGTTTCTGTCTTCATCCCTGCTGATCCGTAACCCCCTATACCGTTCCCGTGTCGCTGCTGGAATGTGCACCGATGCAGGACTTTATGGAGGGCAATTTTGGCGCACTAAATCAAGATTGATGATTAACAAAGACTCCCCCCGATATAGCCTGTAACAGACTGTTTGGACAAGTGCTTTTAGTGAGCAGCGCCTATGAAAACTAAATTCAACTATTTTTATTGTACCAAGTAAGGCCCCACTGAGCTATGTACTGTTGTTGTTTTTCATAAGTGACCTGGCCACACGTAATAGTAGCTCAACGAAGTTGGTGGCTTATCAAATACTCGAAAAGCGTGACGTTTATTTTAAATGTGGAGGGGAAAAACTGGAGGACCCTGAGAAAAATCCACGAGAACACGGGGAGAGAGACACACAAACTCCAAATATACAGCAGGCATCAGGGTCGGAATCTAACCCACGACTTCCTGTATACCAGGCAAGGTAGTTAACATCTAGCCACCACGGAAGGGGTGGGTGGCTAGCACCACGCACGACCGCCTTTGTCTCCCCAGTTACAACCACCACCTTTCACATCAACCAAGACCTCAACAATGTCCCTCGAGTCCCATATGGGAGAGCGCTGATGCTTATGTTACCATCCTAGAATCTCACCACCCAGATCCAAAGGAGTTGCTTGGCAAACAGTGGAACAACGCAGATGTCCAGAATAATAAAAACCTCCTCATTTGAGACCCAGAGATTATAGCTCCTCCCTCCTCAAAGACACGGGTGGTGAAAACATTAACCCAGATATATACGTAGGGATACATATAGACTCAGAGACCCATAGCGATACATAGGGATACAAAAAAATACATAAGCCAGAGTGATGCGATTGTAGCCATGCAACCCGCACTATGGACCACGTAGTGAACCCATAGACACTTCAATGCACGGAAACACGTACAGTTAACATTAAAGGCACAAACCAACTATGAATCTTAGTCAACCCATAGGGATTCCGATACACACAAAGACAAATACAAAGATCCACCATAGAGCCTTTACAGACTGTTGGGGAAAGCGCTGTTAGCGAGCACCTATGATGGCTGGCACACCACACGAGAGGGTGGGTCGACAACAACCATGCCCGACCGCCTTTGTCTCCCCAGTGGCGATGTTTAAACATTGCACAGGTACTTATTTGAGGCTGAGTCGACCTAGGGGAGGCCCAGGTCCAGTTCAGATAATTATCAATCGTGTTGGCCGTGAGCGGGAATCGAACTCTTAGGTGGCCGGATTTGTAGCACAGGGTGCTAACCGCTACACTACCCCTCCCTACATAGACCCATTGAGATACATCGAGGCTTATAGAGATACATAGAGACAAGAGATACACAGACTCATAAAGATACAGAGACTCACAGAGATACCGTGCATTTGTGGCAACGCAACCCAAAACAATGGGACCGCACAGTAAACCCACTGTGGTCTGAGCCCCTCCAATGGAGGAGGAACAGCGACCACGAGACGAACGAACTCTCTCTCTGCTGAAGTCCTCGTCGTGGCGAGCAGCAGCCTTAACCCAACACTGCTGAGGCGGCGGCAGCAGCAGCCGAGGTTGATGGATCACACACGGATGTCGCGAAACTATCCTTACCGTGGGCATCGAGGTGGTACTGGATACCCTGGGCTCGCCACAGGGGGAGCGTAGTACGGCAAAGCGGACTCATTTCCCATCCGTCTTTTTCCATCTGTACGTGGAGGATCGAGCATCGCCCCCTTGCGAAAATCGTTTCCTCCTCCCACGTTGCATAATAAACACTACTCACCATTAATTATTAGAATACATTGTATTTATACCGGAGGAATACGATGAGCTATGAAGCTCTTTTTCAAAGATGTCCAGGAGGAGCAGGGGGTCACATCTTTAAATAAATGCCTAATTCAGCGGGAGGACCCTCGTGATAGAGTCCCAGGACTCCCGGATGACTCCGTAAAACATCGCCATAACATCACTCGAACCATCACCAAAGGCAACCATCCATCGTATAGATTTGCCAGGCTGTTGGGGAAAGTGCTGTATACCCGTCAACCCATACGGTTTATTGTACAAGGAAATTGAGTTTTCAGGTCCAAACGGCGTCCATCCGTTTTAATACGGGCAAATAATAAAATGTTGTAACTTAATTTTGTGTCTATTTGTTTGTGTTTCTCCCTTGTGATGGGACTTTGTAGGATTAACGCTGAGATTTCTAAGGGCATGGGGTGACCAATAAGGTCTAAATAGGTCTGTAATAAGCTAGGCACTGATAATTATAATTATAAGGGGTTGGCTGTTAGCGAGTAGCACCTATGAAGGCCGACACGTCACAGGACATGGTGGGTGGCCAGCACCACGCCCGGCCGCCTTTGTATTCCCAGTGGCGATGTTTGCTACACACCGCACCAGGTACTCATTTGAGGTTCAGCCGACCTAGGCGAGGCCCAGGACCGGTTCAGATAATCGTCACCGGTGTTGGCGGCCCTGAGCTGGAATCGAACTTGGGTCGTGCTAACTGCTGTGTCACCGCTCCACCATTACTCACAATAGCATCGCTAATAACCATCGCCACACTACATCACACACTCACCACTATCACCAGCACCACCGCTCCCATCACCCCAGAAGCCCAGCGTGCTGCCGACTGAGACGCTGCGGAGAGTAAGACGCACCTGTGCCCCGGAGCCAATAAAGTTACTCAAATCTGGCCACATACACCGGATTATAAGACGCACCCTATAAAAGTTATACAATTTTGGGCACTCACATATACTGGATTAAAATACGCACTACGAGTTATACAAATCTGGCCACATACACCGGATTATAAGACGCACCCTGTAAAAGTTATACAATTCTGGGCATACTCTTTGGTTCTTTCGGTAAAATCACGTAGTTAGAAATACAATCTAACAAATGACGACGTTTCGATTGCAACACAAGCAATCATCATCAGGTGGGAAAACCACAGCAAGAAACAATTGTTGATTCTAGATTTAAAACTTTCGTTACTGCTAGGATCCATACTCTTTGGTTCTATTGGGTAAAGTCACGTAGGTGAAAATAAAATAACAAAAAAATCACGACGTTTCGGCCACAACACAAGCGGCCTTCATCAGGTGAAGGGACTATGAGTTATACAAATCTGGCCACATACACCGGATTATAAGACGCACCCTGTAAAAGTTATACAATTCTGGGCATACTCTTCACCTGATGAAGGCCGCTTGTGTTGTGGCCGAAACGTCGTGATTTTTTTGTTATTTTATTTTCACCTACGTGACTTTACCCAATAGAACCAGAGTAACAATTGTTGAAGTGGGAGAGAGAGCTGCCGTGGCAAGAGATGATATCGGTAAGAAAGGGGGCATTAAAAGACGCAATCAAACCCCAAGCTCTTGCTCCGAACGGCAAGACGCACTGGGGGTTGAAGAAGGCGCATCTTGTAACTACAGAGGAGCTAAACAAGGCGCACCTCGGCTGTTGGAGCGCGGCGGCTGTGGACGCAGCGGCGGCGGCAGCAGCGTCTGATTCACCTCCGTGGCGGTGAAAGTGCAGGGCAGAGGCAAATACACAGACACGCAGACACGCGAATACACACACAGACACGCACACACACACGCGAATACACACACACAGACACGCGAATACACAGACACGCGAATACACGCAGACACACACAGACACGCGAATACACACAGACACGCGAATACACACAGACACGCGAATACACACACACAGACACCGCCAACACACACAGACAAGCGAATACACACGCACAGACACGCGAATACACACACACACAGACACCGCCAACACACACACAGACACCACACACACAACCACCACGGACAGGCGAACACCACACACACACAACTACCACACACACACAACCACCACGGACAGGCGAACACTACACACACAGCGACCACCACACACACAGCGACCACACAAAGGCGAGGTAGGCAAACTCAGCACGCGCAGCGGCGGTGCTCCACTCAATACGCAGGTTGTGACGCCCCGCCCCAAGCCCCGCCCCAAGCCCCACCCAAGCCCCACCAGGTAAGGCCCACTGAGCTACATAGCTCTTTTTGAGAAGCGTCTTGGCCACAAATGATAGCTCAACAACGTGGTTTATCGCGTGTGAATTTATAGCAGGCAAATACTCTAAACGCGTAACGTTGATTCTGTGGAGGAAAAAACCAGAGGACCCTGGAGAAAAATCCACACGACCATGGGGAGAAAGCGAGAGACAAAAAAACTACAAATATACAGCAGCAGGCGTCAGGGTCAGGATCGAACCCACGACCTCCTGTACACCAGGCAAGGCAGTTAACATCTCCTAGCCACCGTGGCGCCATATTTAATATTCCGCGAGTTTACCAAGAACAGCCGTCACTGAGTCGCAGGACTCACTTCCAAGAGGGTCCTGCCCAGTTACACAGTCGGGGAGTGATGCTGTTGCTTACTGCTTGCTGCTGTGCATGATCCCTGTCGAGTGGTCTGCAGGTTCATGTTTCAGCACCCGGGGGATGTGCTGTTGGCTCGGTACCAGTTCCTCTCTGGGTGGGGGTTTAACTACGGGAGAAGGAAACCGGAGAGCTCGGAGGAAATCCACGCAGAACAGAGGGAGAGAACACATAATCTCCACTCACTCTCTCTGTAGAACAGAGGGAGAGAACACACAACCTCCACTCATTCTCTCTGTAGAACAGAGGGAGAGAACACACAACCTCCACTCATTCTCTCTGTAGAACAGAGGGAGAGAACACACAACCTCCACTCACTCTCTCTGTAGAACAGAGGGAGAGAACACACAACCTCCACTCATTCTCTCTGTAGAACAGAGGGAGAGAACACACAATCTCCACTCATTCTCTCTCGAACAGGTGAAGAAAACATGTATGTTGAACTTCTTTCACACCGTACATAGCCAACCATGCTCATCGGATGTGCGGGGAAGGACAACTAAACACAATTAGTAATTCTAAATAAATTAGTTTTCAATCTAGATGTAAAAGTGCATAGCTACATTGGCTTCTTAATATTGGAAGAGGGTTCCAGACGGCCGTAGAAGCGCACCTAAAAGCGCGTGATGCGGTAACCGGCTTTGTTCTTTGTTAGCCAAAAGCCGCAGCAAAGGATGATCGGAGTTTGCGTGATGGCTTATTCTCGTTGATAGATCAGCAAGGTATCGTGACTCATTTGTGGCAATCGCTTTGTGTGTAATGAGTGCGACCTTATAATGCCGTGGTTCTTATCCTGGGATGCACGCTGCACCCCCTGGGGGTGCGAGATGCCCTTTCTGTTGGTGGAAGACATGGCCAGATTTTTTTTATAAGGTAAATCATCGAAACCTAAATTAAGCACGGGTACGTAAATACAACTACTTTGTTTCACCAAACATAGATATTTTTTTACAGTGTACATTTTTGAACGATTGAGAAGCAAAGGGATGCAACGCTGCAGTAAAGGTTAAGGAACCACTGTTATAACGCATTCGTTCGGTAACCAGAAGCCAATGCAGCTCGGTGAGCACAGGACGGACATGGTCGGATCTTGCAGTACCCGTCACGACACATGCCAGAGCATTTTGTACACGCTGCAAATTGTAAAAGTTTTTTTTCCAGACGTCTCAAAAAGTAGTAATTTGCAATAATCGAGCCTTGTAGATACTACGCTACACGCCACCATGTTGGCTATGTCACGACTCAATTGTTGTCGAATGTGTTGCAGAGCCCTGATATGAAAATTGCAGGACTCGACTACATTTTGCACGTGGTGATCAAACGACATTCTGGTCGAGTATGATGCCAAGGCTCTCGGGATGCCAAGGCTCTCGGATGAATCCTGGAGTCGGTGACCACCACAACTGATCCTCCCACGAGTGTTTTCGCCTTGGCCTGAGTGCCAATCATCAGAACCTCCGCATTTCATTTTGTGAAAACCACACTTGCACAGTTTGCGTGCAATCTTCGAGGTCGCCAAGGCTCTGCATGTCTAACTCTGACTTCACTGCGTTGTACAATTGTGTATCATAAGCATATTGATGGAACTTGATGTTATGTGATGAGATTACATCAATGATCGGAGTATGTTGGAAATAGGAATGGCCCGAGGACGGACCCCTGTGATACGCCGACTAGGCATGGCATAGGCGATGGCTGTTCGTCACCCAGCTGGACGAACTGTGATCGACCATGTAGCCATGACTCAATCAACCTCAATTCCATAACCGATACACCGCACCTTGGCCTTAGCCGCCAGATGAATATTTCATGATCGATGGTGTCGAAGGCAGCTGAGAGATCGAGGCCAACCAATGCTGCTGCGCACCGGTCATTCGTGATCTTATAGATGTTAACAGGGACTTCCGGTACGCCAATTTCAACAGCTTGAATCTGCTCGTCGCAGCAACATGGGGAAGTAATTGCTTCAGACACAGGCGCTCTATGACCTTAGAACTCACACTCAGGTTTCATATCGGGCGATAGTTTGCAGTCACTGTGGCTCAAGCCAACTTTTTCAGGAGCGGCGTTACCTGCGCCATTTAGAACCGGTCTGTGAAACGGCCCCTCGCTGAACGAAAGTTTCGCCAGATGAACAACCAGCGGCACAAGCACGTCCAAGCATGATTTGAGAATCGACGTGTGGATGTAGTCAAGCGGCGGTGTCCGATTTGGCAGCCGTGCAATGAACATCAACACCTCTGCCACCGACGTTTGTGCCAGGGTCTTGAGTTCTGCATTGGTTCCAGGTTGATGAAACTCTGATGGCAGATGGGGAGAATGAGTTGCATTCAAGTTAGAAACTGCCGTATTGATCGTCATCATTTTATTGGCGAAGAACGTCACAAGTACTGTGCAAACCGAGTTGACTAGTTGATGGGTGGTTGGAGTGCAGCATACCCTTCACGACGTACCACAGAGCACATAACTCAATAATAACACTATGTAACACAATTTTTGTTCCTGGGTAGTAAGTGTTATTTCGTAATTGCTTATGCCTAAAAAGTATAGACCAGGACAGTGATATTTTGAAATTTACCTACTTTCAATGAGAAAACGGGCGAATTTGTGTATTTTCGTTCACATAGTCAGAAAAAAACATATGAATCAAAATTAACATGTATTTATACTAAAGTAAAAAGATGTACAAATAACTCGATCCAGAATCTTTACAAGATTTGGAATTGATTAACTATGCCTTGGTGTGTTATGCACAATTGACGCACTCCGCCCAAGGGCACGAACCAACTAATTTCTCAACAACCAACTCTTCAAAATTCCAAACATCTACACAGCACCCCCGCGCGTCGACAAAGACACCGAGGACACACAACTCTCAAAACTCTCGGCAACATTAACAGCGCTCGTGAGCACAGCGCCCCCTCTCGTCAACAATTACAGAACACCGTGGCGACTAAATAGATGCAGGAAAACGCGGCGACTGTTCGTACCCAACCCCCTTACGCACGATGAAACAACGCAGCAGAAGTCCAGGGTACACAACGGCAGTGTCAGGACTTGGCTGACGTCTTCAACAGCGTCCTGAGCAAATCAACACATTGGCAGTATCAGGACTTGGTTGGCCTCTCCAACAAAACCCTGAACAACTCGACACGGCTGCTGTCTTGGGTCACGGAGTCTGCGTTCTCGATAGCTTTCTGAGAGACTCCACGTGGCTAAAGTCTCGGGGGACTTGGCTGGCGCCTACAACCGCACGTTGAAAAACTCAACGCAAGTGACTCCACACGGTGAGTCTTGAGACCTGGCTGGCGTCTTCAAGAGCACCCCGACCAACACAACGTAGCTGCAGACTTGGTAACCGAGCCGCCCGCCCTGCAGTTGCAGCAGGTCTTCTGCAGCAGCAGTCCTGATAGCGGCGAGCATCGAGTGTCCGTCCTTCCCTGGGCGAACGCCGACTGCCATGGCGAATGCCAAATACACTGCGGACCACAACCTCTGGTCCTGACGAACCCCGACCATCCCGCACGCCTCGGACACACCTGCCACCAATCACGCATTGCCCCATCGACTGCTCCCTCACCACACGCCACCTGGCCTGTCATGGGAGGCCAATTTGTGTCCTGCCCCCAATTAAGGCCAGACTGAGTGGCGCAGTTGCTTCCAAAGGTGGGTGGTTTTTAGTGAATTCCCCCACCTCCGCACCCCCCTTAACCTCATGTAACCTCAGCCACCTCGACTCACCCCGGCACGACAGTGCTCGCCCACACCGTTGCAGCAGCATGCATTTAGCGAGGCTGCCATGGACCTTTCACCTCTTGGGTCCCATCACTCGGGACTACCCTGGGCTTTGTCCCAACTCTGTTCAGACGCGGCCATGCGAGCGGCCGCTTCTCTCCTCTCCCCACACACTCCAGGCCCTCCGCTCGGCCGAACTTCCACGAGGGCCCTCCTTCGGTATGTGCCCGCCGTGTCCGCAAACATGCACAGAGGATCTGTACCATCTTCTTTGGTTCTTTCGGTAAAGTCACGTAGAATGAGAATAAAATAATAAATTAATAACGTAAAATAACACGATAACATTCTCACGACGTTTCGGCCACAACACAAGTGGCCTTCAGGTGAAAGGAACAGACCTGTCGGACATCGGATGACAGGTCTGTTCCTTTCACCTA